TATTGTCCTAAAATAAGAGATGAAGAAATGATGAATGAAGCCAGACTTCATACTATACTCCAAAAGACGTTGGTCTGGGTAGCTGCAGTAGCAGAATCCCATGAGGCCATGTTTGAGCAATAAGGCCCTTTGTCTTCTTGCCCACCCTCCCTTTTCAGTTCTCTAATACCAGCGGACAAATTGCTGAATCATGTCCTTTAAAAATATTGACACATGGCCATAATTGCTGAACAAGATTGAAGTTAAAAAAAAAAAAGAAGAAAAAATATTAACACATGGCCAAAGGCCAGTAAAAGAGAATTAACTTAGCAGAAGGATCAAGCTCCACTGTAGACTAGTGTAGCAATGATTGAGTGGTAAAAGATAATACCCAAGAAGCTAGCCTCTGCTTAATCTGTTATTCTTGTTCAACTTTCACAGGCAGCATTTAATGGCCTGGAAATGGGTTGAAATGATAGGATTTACTCAGATCACTGTGGATTTTCTTATATTGATGATTCATTGTACTGTGATTCTTTTGTCTTTCTTCATACATAGGTTGAGAGCACCATTGGCTGCTTACTTCCAAGTGACCAGGACCCAGTTTCACATGCCACCTGTCTCTTATGATTCAGAGACTAGTAATTCCATGCCCGAAGACTTGGAGGTGTCTAGTGGTTCTGATTCTGACAGTGACGGCTCTACAGAGGATGGACAGGCAGTTGTCCAAGCAGAGGAACCTGGAGCTGTCATTGTAGAAGGTCAGTATTTTATCAAGGTTTGGATTCACAAGGCTAACATCCACAAAGCTTAGACTTCAGAAAGCTAGAAACTCTAGATTTGTGCTTTGATACTTTCCCTTTTCTCCCCCAAATGTTACAGATTCCTGCTTTATAGTACAGACCTTTCGCTGTCCATAATTATATAGAGAGGATTTGATCTGACTCACCATTTAATGTGCTTCGTAACCCAGTGAGTCAGTCACTTTGTAATGGCATTTTATATTCCCTTTCATTTTCTTAGACATCTGAGAGAGACATAGATTATTTATTTAAAAGAAAAGTTTTATAAATTCAGCGCCCTGTGTAGGCTGCCACTTTCGAGTCCTAGTATAAGGTTATGTATTGTGCAAGTGGAACATTATTTAGCAGCAGGTGGGCAGAGACCCCTAGGGTAGGTGTCATGTGTAATTAAAAACCTACTAATACTGCAGAGTGTGGTCTTTCATTTTCCCACTAAAAGAAACCTGGACTTGGAGAAATGGCTTTCTAGGCCTGGGATAGGAAATATACAAAATGAGTGTAGCACATTCTGTTCTGCTAGAAAGCAAGGAAGCTGTCT